TGTTACCTAAACTCCTTTATTGTTTATTACGCCAAGCATGTTTTCTACAGGATTTATGTGTCAAATGGACCCAAGTGAACGACCATATTTGACTTTTCTCACGCCTTATATCAACGATCACTGCACCCCAGTGTCTTTCTGAACGTTTACGCGTGATAATTTTTTTCATTTTACACTGATGTTACTTATCAAACTATTCATCTCGGCAGACGTTCGATAGATGACCCAGACATATTTTAATTGCATCATATTCACCGCAACCATCCTACGGGACCTGTCAAGCACGTGCTTTTATCCCGTGATAAATCATTGTTCCTTGTTCAAAATCTCAGCCCTAACATTTTATAAATGCCGTATCGTACGTAGATACTATCAGTGGATGTTGTGTCTTTCCGGTCAACCCTGTCCTCTGCAACGTTCGGAACTTGCATGGCACTGGAGGATAAGACGCTCTATATCGCAGTTGGCTTGCAGATCATGACGGTTCGACATTGTCCCTCGTGGCCCGGTGCCATAAGCTGCTGACTGGCGGTGCAAGCCGATGGTGGTAATGCGTTTGACTCCTCAAGGGTCTGATGGATGTACACTATTGATGATGCCCCAGCAACTTGAAAGTGCAGTTTAGTGTTTTCCCGGGCATGTGGGCGATTATCTGGTTTGGAACCTGCTGCGACGAACAGTATATTCATCAAATCAAAATCCTCTACTCATGAGTCCATCATGCTTAGTTTATACTTAACCAATATATAGCCTGTCGACCTTATCTGGCTCTACACCGTGTCCTGTAGATGTATTGAGATTTCATCAGTTTTAGGAATGTATCGGTGCTGTGGATTTCTAAAATTACTGTGAATAGTGTGTTGAACCAAGTGCTTTTCCAGTTGACGCATTTTGCACCAGCCTACCAGCCCTCACGAGGGACATTTTTAACATCGGTTGGGAATAAGCAGGGATCATGACGATCTTACTGGGTCTATAAATTGCTTTGCAACCATAAGATTGAAACAGTAGTTAAGAGCAAGTAGAAAGGTTTCTACAAATCTATCAAATTATTAAAAATCAAAAACATGTACTTGCGTATCGTTAGTCGTAGTGTTCGGTCAGTTAATCGTTTATTCTTGTTCGGTTAGGAATTCGTATTGGTGTCAATATTTCCGGGTCGAGGATGTGCTTTTTCATTGGATGTGCACCGTTTCATTAAAGCACAGGTTTCCAAAATAATCGTCGATACGTGTTTTAAAAAGCTTCACAGAATTGGCCTCTATTAGTCCTTCTGGTAGCGTATTCCATAAGTTTACGATTCGTCGTTCTATACAAAGCTGATGTGATACTTTGTTCATGCAGGGGACCCTGAGTTTGTAACGGTGTCCTTGGGTGTTACAGAGTTCCAGCAGGTGAAATATTGGCCGCAGTATGAGGAAGTGGTTCAAATGCAGTATTCGATGGGTCATAATAAGGTCAATTCTTATTCGGCGGTAGGATAGTGTGTAGAGTCCGAGCCTTTCGTGACATTTTTATACGGAAGCTTTCATAGACTCGGTAAAATCCTAGTTGCGATATGCTGTGTTTTCCCCAGCTTTTCAGTTTCCCACTGGGTTATCGGATTGTAAGCTGGCGCACCGTATTCAAGGTTTGGTCTAATGAGCGAGGTGAATAGACGAGGGACGATTTCTTCGGAAAATGTGGAGAAACTGTGTCGTAATGCCCGCACGGTACAATTTTTCTGTATTTTCTAGTGATCTCATATTGTCGCGAGAGCACTCCTAAGTCTCTGACAGATGTGTTAGGGTGGAGCAACTGGCCGTCCAAGGTGTATGTTTGAATGGTTGCATATCTGGTGATACTGAGGAACTGCGACTTGCTTGCGTTAACAAGGAGTTGCATTTCAGTGGACCATGTTGACAGTCGGTCTAAGTCACGCTGGAGGCCAGCGCAGTCGTCCTGATTTTCAATGATCCTTCAGTTTTTCAATTCATCTGCAAACAAGGCACATGGTGACTGGGGATGCTGCGAAAGATCGTTGATATGAATAAGAAATAATACTGGCTCAAGTACAGTTTCTTGAGGCACGCCACTGGTCGATGGGAACCAGTCTGTCAGATAGTCATTGAAATGTATTCTAAATTTTCGTCCCACAATAAACTCGTGTAACCACGGAAGTAGTGTGCCACCGATTCCGTAGGTACTCAGTTTACGAAGAAGTACCTCCTGCTTCACTCTGTAAAGGGCCTTAGTAATGTCAATGTCAACATCCTTCCTTTCGTTGAGAGCTCGTACCCACTGGTGTTTTTCGTACATCAGGTTGGTGCTGCAGGATCGCCCTTTCGTAAAGCCGTGTTGCGCTGTCCTCAATACGTCCATCGATTCGAAGAACGACGGTAGACACTTATTTTATAACCTTCTCGAAAATTTTGGGTAATATCGAATTCAAACAGATCTGTCTATAGTTCTCTACTTTACTCGGATCACCATTCTTGGGAAGCGGTCTTACTATCGAGCATTTTCAGTGGTTGGGGACAGATCCTTCAGAGAGTGATTTAATGAATAGGTTTGTCACCGTTGGTTAGATGATATTCGGTGGGGACTTGCGTATTAGTGGATGAAGTCCGTCTGGTTCGGGGGCTTGGAACTATCGAGGTTGACGAGTAGCTGCTACACTTCGACTACATCACATTGTGGGCTGTCGAGTAAGACTGGTGCAACCTGTGTCGGTATTGGAACAGCCGCCGGTTTACTGGAAAATATGATGAATTACGTAACCAAGGCGTCCGCGCTTGAAATGAGCGTCTGTCCGTCCAAGCTCTTTCCAATGCCGGTAGGTCGCCCCCAGGTTTCAGTAGACGGTTCAAGTAGGGAAATATTTTTCTGGGTGCAGTTGTGGCCGAAGAAGCTAGCTCCTCTTCGAACTACCGGCGTTTCTTGATCTTTGCGCGTTACATAAGTCACGCTGTTTCTTGTACGTCATGTAATCTTCATCACAACCCGAGCTGATTTATCTATCCCAAAGTTTGCGACGCCGTCGCGCTAACTGTCTATATTCCGTATCAAACCAATGCGGTTTGACATGTCCGATTTTTGAATACTTCAGGGGAACGAACCGAGTATAAAGCGAATTTAGTTTCCCCTTCATTAATGACCAACAGGCCTCAAGCCACGCAACATGTGGTAGTGTCCAATCAGTCTGACTTGCAGCTTGGATGAGCCCGTTGAAGTCCGTCTTCCAATAGTTGAATGTCGGCTTCCATTGGATGTAATACGGTGACGACAGTTCTATGCTTGCCACAGTGGTGCAGTGGTTACTGTTCGCCAGCGGTTCGAGGACTCTGATCTCGTTCAGCTTCTGCTCGCAGCTCGTAAACATTAGGTCCAGACAATATGCCGAGTGCGAAGTTACGCGCGTCGATTTAATGACATGTTGCGTTGCCCAGATTCCAATAGTCATTTTAGCGAATTGAGCCTTAACGTCGTCATGATCGGGAAAGAAGCCGAACGTCTGGCCAGAGTATCAGGTGCAATCAGATCCCCCGTCGGTAAGCAATGAGGGCGGCTCATGTACTTCTGTACATGTGGTAGCCGATAGCAACAACGGTTTAATGGGGTACGGTAGATAACACCCACTATTAGTTCTGTGCGTCTGAGGCGGATTGTGCACCACAATTGCTCGCATAAATTATCCTCGCTCGGATAGGTGATAGTATGTTTGCCAGATCGTGACGATTGTATGTACAACAGAACACCACCGTGAGCCTTTGATTTTCGGTCGCATCGGAAACAACAGTATCCTTACAACTCAACTTCTAGGGGTATGACGTCGGAGTTCAGCCAAGTCTCTGCAAGTCCTAAAACGTCCGGCCTCTCCGAGACAGCGAAGTGACACAGTTCGTCACGTTTGTTCATTAGGCTGCACACGTTGGCGAATGCTACACGGAGGTCCTGGGAGGTACCGCTGGAGGTCGAGCACCCGGTTGATACGACTTCGTACACCCTACTTGATCACCCGAAAATTTACAATTTGTAAGTCAGTCTCCCCTTCTTCTGTACGGCGTTTGACCTCAATGACCGCAATCTTCGAACGATCCCTGTATTCGGGTTCCAAGTCTCGGTGGATGTGAACTTTTATGCCTTTTAGCCTTGACAGAAGAGACGGTATAAGCTGCAGCATACTGTGATTTGCGAAGGTGATATTATGAGGTCGACATGACTGGTTAATTTTCTGGTCATGTCGGAGTACTTATTTAACCGTCACACTGTCTTTGCCTACATTCAAGTGTCTATCGATGAGCCCCTGGAGGAACTCAACATCGGGATCATAACGTATCTAAGGGTTATCATCATTTGACTCTTACGAGGAAGACCATTAGAGTATGACGCCTCAGTGAAATCGGTGCTGAACCTGTGGGAGCAGGACTAGAAACGCTTATCTGGTTGGGTTGTCTTTTATCAGCAGGGGACGCCTGCACTCGATTACGTGGCCCCTTGCGCTTT